AAAAAAAAAAAAAAAAAAGTGTTGATACCTATGTGGCTGGCACAGCACACTCAGGGTGCTCATCCACCAGTGCCATAGCATCAATGCTGATCCCATGATCCCAGGGCATGGGGCCCAGTGGGGATGCACTCAGAGCCGGCCTGAAGGGCTCGGTACCAGCCCAGGTCTGCACTGTGGGGGGTCATATCAGGCCCAGGGGGCCCCAACAAAGGCCTCACCCTAAGGACAGCAAGCATCACTGAGATGCCACCCCAGTGGCGCATATGCCATTCTTTCCATCATACAAGAAAGTACATGCTGCTTTCTCTTGAGACACTCAAGTTTCATGCTGAATGCAGCCTATTTAATTTTAATTGTTCCTTCCCAATTTAGAGCTATTTTCATAGTTGCAAATTAACTTATCATTTAGAAAAAACTATTTTTTCCTGTTTTGAGACAAGGTCTCACAAGTTGCCCAGGCTGATCACACATTTGAGATCTACCTGCCTCATCCTCCCAAGCGGTGCTACATGCATGCCACTGTGCCTTGCTTACTCCAAAAGTATCTACCAAGGGATTACATACGTCAGTGTAAGAAACAGTTCATTGCAGAAGGAACTGTCAGTTGTCAACCTGGCATAAAAACAAGCATAATCTCTGACCAAATACCTCCACTGTTTGGGACCCATTTACACTTCAAGGATGAGCATACCCAAAGGTGAGGCCAGGGGACAAAGCGGAGCCTCCAGGGAAGGCAGCCAATGCCAGGAGCCCAAGTGTCTGGGAAGAGGTGGTGGGGGCTGCAGGCATGGGGAGCTGGGTCCAGAAGTGACTTCACCAGGCTGATATATGGTGTGGGCAGCACAGGCATGCAGGACAGAGGTAAGGCAGGTACATATGAGCCCAGCTACATATGAGCAGCACAGTATCACCTCATGGCCTCAGCACTACCCCTTGGCACCAGTGACTTCAGGGCCACAGGACTTAGGCTCCAAGAGCAAGCACAAGGCCCCAGACACAGCCATGTGGGATACTGAGGGTGGCTGACAAGGTCCCTGAGCTCACCTTGGCAGGACTCAGGGGCCCTGCAAAGGCCCTCACAGTCCGCACAGGGTCCCGGGGATTGGCTCCACAGTGGTCAGCAGGTGAGGCCTCGGCTGACTGGTCTGGGGACCACAGCTCCCCAATGACAGGAGAGGAGGTATCATCTGCTCTCAGAAGCGGCACGTAGTAGTGACCTGGGAGAGAGATCAGTCAACAGCAGGGTCCTGCTCCCTGGCTGTATCTAGGGCTGGTAAGCGATGGAAGAAAGGGTGGAGGAACCAGGTGGTCATGGCACTCTGCTGGGGTGGATCACAGCCAAGGAAGGTTTGGGCTAGGACACACTTAACTCAGCGAGCCCTTCTCCTTCTCCTCTAAAAGAAGTGGAAAGTAGTCAAGTATGGTGCTGCACACCTGTAATATTGGAACCTGGAAGGCCAGGGATGTAGCTCAGTGCAGAGGCCTTAGATTTAATCCTTGGTACCTTTAATCCCTAACATGGGATGGAGGGAAGGACAGCAGCAGATACTTTAGGAAGATGGAAGACTGAAGCAAGAGGGGACCAGACTAGCACAGCAGAGCTCAATTAGCACAGTTAACAGGCTGTGCGTGTCCTTCCTCAGAGCCCACGCACCCATGAGCCCTAAACCTAACACATGGTAGAGGCTTGGGGATTCTCCAACTCACCCTGTAAATATTCTCTGATCCTCTCTTTTAGTTCTACAGGTTTATCTTTGTTTCTTTCACAAATCACCTATTTAAAGAAAACAGTACGTCAGAACTCTAAATTTTATTTTATAGCCTTTTTTTTTTTTTTGAGACAAGATCTCACTCTAGTTCAGCCTGGCCTCAGACTCATGGCAATCCTCCTGCCTCAGCCTCCTGCATTCTGGGATTATAGGCATACGCCACCACACCCAGCTTAATGTAACTTTTTTCTCCTATGGTTCTGGAGACTAAACCCAGGGGTTTGGCACAGTGCCTGGTGTACACTAAGTTGAACACAACAGCTATGTTGAGAATCCTCACCACCGTGATCATTACCACCATCATCATCTCACCATGGACATCATATCACCATCATCACATCACCACCATGACGACCATCACTATCTTTGTTCGGAACCTGGTCAGCTGAGGTGTTCAGGGAGAGAAAATGAAAGGCTAACTCTTCAAAACAACTGATCACCAGTTTCAGGAAACTGAAATCAGTAAACTGGGTCAGCTCCTTCCTTCCCAGCTGGGCAGACGCTGTCTTCACATCTTGCCTGGCAGTCAAGGTTCTGAAATGTGCCATGGCAGGCACAACTCAGACAGACCCAGTGCTAACCTCAGTGTACCTATGAACACAGGCTAAACATTTGCTTATTTTTGTTTCTAATGCTAAATAGTAATCACATTTCAATAATTATTGTACTTACCTCTTCAGGTGTCTTGTCATATTTATTCTTGCATTTTTTCTCAATCAAAGGATGTGAAGAAAGCACATTGACAACCTCCACATTCCCAAACTTACAAGCAAAATGCAATGGTGTGTCGTACCCCTGGAAAAGGTGCAGAAGAAGCACAACTGTCAGTCAGCTTGTTTATACTCAGCCAGGTGCACGAATGCAAACCTCTAATACAGGCATGCAGAAGTTACTCCACACATACAAGACCAGCCTGAACTGCATAGGGAGACTCATGTCAAAAAAAAAAAAACCAAACTCACATTCACACAGTTGCTCTCTAAGGTAAAAATGGGTATTTCTTTAAAAGCCTCAACAGGGCCGGGATTTAGCTCAGTGGTTCTGCTGCCTGCCTCACAAGTGCAAGGACCCGAGTTCAATCCCTGGTACCAAAAAAAAAAAGCCTCAACAATGCAAGACTGTAAAAAGAACTGCTATTACAGCTGATAGGTACCTGAGTACCAGCAATGCCCACTCTGCAGGTCTCAGCACAATGTTGCCCAACACTGGGAACCTGACATAACTGCCCCTTGATGCCGGGGACCTGGACTCAGCTAGAGCTCCTGTAAACCGTTGCTTCCCTGACTCGGGGCCAGCACCATGTCATGCAACCAGCTGCACATGGAAGGCACTGTTCAGATTTTTAAATGCCCATGGACTTGGTCTGGGGCTCCTTGGAGCCAGAGGATGGACACCACAGCACATGGGCCACTCTTCACTCTGACTTCAGGCCACTGTACCATGAGACTTCCCGATCGATGCTCACATCCACTCATGCTAGTACCCCAGGGCTCCACAGCACCCACTGTACTCCCCACAGATGTGACTTCCTTCCCTCCTCATTCTCAGGTCACCTGCAGACCAGTGAACATGTGATATAGTAGCCCCAAGCCCAAGATCTGCAGAGGCAGGACCCTCAGAACTCACCTTCACCTACCTGTTGTGAACTTGTCTCTGCCGGTCCCTCCAATAACCAGGGATGCCACACTCAAGCTCTAATTCCTTCCAGACCAGGGGACCAGACACTTGGGACCTTACAGCCTACACCCATGCTCACCCAGGCCTCCTCACTGGGACCCGAGAGATCTGTAAATAGCCACAGTTCTCATGTCCACCATGAGGCATCACACCTACAAAGCCTGATATCTGTTATCCCAGGCCCCATTGTTCTGACTGCATCTGCCCCTATTTTTAAGGGTGGCAGCTTTTTCTGTGATGGGCTATATTCAAGGCCACCCAGTCTTGCCACAATTACACTGGGCCCTGGAGCAGAGCAGCCTGAGACAAGACATCAGCAGGTGAATGCAGTTCTACTCCAGGGACAACTGAGGTCTCCAGTTTACCTTCTACCTTGGACAATTGAGGTGCAATGGTCCCTCACATCACTAAAATTTAGTCCTCTCCCCTATCTTTCTGTTGCATTCCAAGGACACAGTATGGTCAAATATGTATGTATGTACACACACACACACGCTTCCATCCGCCCCACAACCAATACCCTAGTCAGCCAGCTTCCTCTTCACCCCTGCTTTCCCATGGAGCCTGTCCCCACCCGCTTTCTATACCTGACACCCTATTTTTCCACAAGGACTGTCCCCACCCACTTTCTTCCCCTGGGCACTGTCCCCACCTTTCCACACCCCACACCCTGATTCCCCAAGGGAACTACTCTCACCTGCCCCATACCCCTTATGCCCACCCACTGGCCTCCCCTCTCCCACACCAGAAAGCTACCATGCTAGGTTCTTTCCATGTTCTGCTATACTCCCAACCACACTTTACACCCACCCACATTCCCCACAAACCTCAGGACCTCTGTGGGGCTGAGGTATTATGGTAAACATTTTAATGACTATCTTCAGAATTATGATAAGAGAATGTGACCTGACACTTCTAATTTCATTTTTTGGTACCAGGGATCGAACTCAGGATCTTGTGCCTGTGAGGCAGGGGGAAGAACTACTAAGCTAAATCCCTAGCCCCTGACCATTCTAACTTCATGTGTGTTTGTGCTGCTGGGGATTGAACTCAGGGCCTTAGACATACTAGGTGATTATTCTACCAATGAGTCACATCCCCAGCACTTTTAATTTCAATAACTCTATAATTTTTTTCCTACTAAACAATTTCTTATTCCTATAATACAAACGAATGCACATTTCCTGTGAATGTTGCATGGATGTTAAGAAATAAAAGGTGTTTCTGTAGGGCCCACAGTTTTTTAAAATCACATCTATAAATACACATTTCTTGTCTGAATCAGGCCTCATATCTTGCTTACTCATCTGTTACTCTCAGAGTAACTACTATACTTACTTTGATCTTATTCCTTCCTGTTTTGTGCTCACCACCACTCTTTGTAACCATCTCTAATATGAGACATGGTCGTCCCTCTTCACGTTAAGTGTTTGGTCCAAGAGCCACCACCTTCCCCTAAGACACCAAAATCTCTGGACTCTCACATCCTCATGGAAAATAGTGCAGTACTTCCAAATAACCATGTATGTGCACATATAACATTTGCAGTATTTGGCTATAACCACACACAAGCACATACAACCTCCATACATAATTACCTCCAGTTACTATCATAGCCAGTACAATGCAGACACCATGTAAGCAGTTATTACACTGTGCTGTGTGAGGAATAAGACAAGGAATAAAAAGCTTTCAATGTGCAGTGCAGACACATTTCTTCAGAATACTTTTAATCTGCAGTTGGTGAATCTGTGGTGTTGGACTCTTGAATATAGTGGGCTGACTGCCTGTATTTGGCCTTCCTGACTTAGAACTCCTAAAAATCTGAGAAGGGCTGTGTCTCACTGTTAAGGAGCTGTCTGCTTTCCCAGCCCTGAGGCAGCTGCGAGATGGGGTGGGCTACAGAGAAGACCAAGACAGGATTAAAGGCTGGGGAAAGGAGCTGAAGGTTAAAGTGAATACTGAATGCCAAAGCGCTAATCACACCTATGTAACAAATTCTCCACAGAAACTCACCGCAGCACATAAAGAGCTGCTGACAGCTGCACACAGTTTCTGAAGTGTGATATTCCCCACCAGGGCATAAAATCTCCACGTCCCTTTCCCCACCCTTGGACTGATGCATTCCTTCCCATGTCTTTTGTAATAGGAACATATCTCTCTGAGTTCCATAAACAAATTCATCAACCCAGCGGGAACATGTGGCTGGCATCTGAGGAGACAGCCAATCTTCTGGGACTTGACCACCTGTGCTGGGATTTAATGGAATGAGAGGACACCCATCTGGTGTCTGCTGTAGGACAGACTGCTTGCTCAATGTGGTGAAAACCACCAAAAGTCTGGTATCAGAAAGGAGTTTGAGAGTAGGAGAAGAAACTAATTTGTTTATAATCATTGTTATAATTATGAGACCATTGCTTTCTCTTCTCTTTCTATAATTTTGTTGGTTAGGACAAATTTCTCTACATTTCCCTTCTGTCTCTCTGTATCTCTATATCTGTCTTTCTCTTTTGTTTTCTGAGACAGGGTCTTACTATGTATTCCAGACTGGCCTTGAATTCTTAGCAATCCTCCTGCCCAAGGCTCCCAAGTGCTGGGATTACAGCATGGGCCACCATGCCCAGATCTCAAAATAAAGTTTTAAAAAGACTGAGGATATAGCTCAATGCTCCCTGAGCATGACCCAGAGTGGGTGAGATGTCTGTGAGACTGTTTTTCATTTTGGTCTCTTGACAACACATGCTTATCTAAATCAGAAACAATAAACCAAGAGGGAGAAAACAGTTAGAAAAACCCCTGCTTTTATAAAAGGTTCCAGTACCACAAAATAAATAAACACAGGAAATAGTCCTGATGGCAACATTTGGTAAAAGAACATATAAAGGATACAAGAAGAAGACTAGAATAAAGTAGATTACAATTTTTCTACCTCACTTTCTACACCTTTCAACATTTGCTCACCTGTCACACACAGTCTGTGTCTCCCTGACAAGGCCAGGCACCTTGTGGGGCACCTGATTCTATCAGCAGCCTTCTATTTCCTGCTAGTCTGCACTTTCCATGTCAATACACGTGCTTCTGCTCCTGACTGTCCACACACATTCCATACAGATGTAGCATGGAAAGTCAGAACTCCTCCCTCCCAGGGACACACTCTCCCTCCATGGATGCAGGGCACACTCACCACCTTGTCAGGAGTGTTCAGATATAGGTCCACGAGGTAGTGAATGCGCTTCTGCAGCATATCCACGTCATCATCTGGGTACATAAGCTGCATGAACTCAGGGTTTTCTAAAGTCTCCAGCGTCAGCTGGCAGATAGAAGCCTGGTTCGCCTTGGCAGCAACATGCATGACATTATACCTACATCCTTCCTGAAAGAAAACCCACGATCTCAGCTTTATTTTCACGAGTATAGTGCACAGCAGCAGGATGCACTGGACACAGGCTTACCTGTACGACAGTTGGGGTGTCCCCTGAGCCAATTAGGTACCGGGGGTTGCTCCAGACAAGGTCAGAGAAGGCCTTTTCTTCTCCCTGTTCCACGGCTTTCCGTAGCTTAGCAGTGAGGTCCTGTGTGCGAGGGCTTTTATAACTGTTCGCTCCTTCTTTGTTTACTGTTTCTGATTCGGACAAGCAGAAACCATCTGTCATCAAGAGACAGAAATGAAGAACACTCAGCCTCACAGACGTCTTCCTGCTCTCAGTCATACTGAGGTGTGAGCCCACTTTGGCTCAGCAGCCCTTGGCAGCGAAGGTGAGACAGTGACAGTGCAAGTATATAGCTACATGTCCTGCCGGTACAGCAGGACCCATGCACCGCAAGGTGCCATCAGACCCAGATAGACACCATCCAGGAGAGCTTCTGAACAGACATCAGTTTGGGTGTTTCAAAAAGTAAATCAGTTGCGCATGGTAGCACATACCTATAATCCCAGCACCCTGGGAGCCCGAGGGAAGAGGACTGCACATTTGACATCAGCCCAGGCAATTTAGTGACACACTTTTTCAATTAAAGAGGGGGTGGTGCTTGGGATGTAGCTTAGAGAGAAGACCCTGATCAATCTATAGATGCCCTCCCCAACTAAAAAAAAAAAAAAAAAAAAA